ACCGCCTTGTCGGTATCTCCAGTTTGCACTACGAGAAGGGTTCACGACCAATATTCTGATTAAGGTGTACTATAATCAGTCTTCCAATCCTACTAAAGCTATTTGTTGGAATCGACCAATTTCGGAATTTCGGTTGACATTTCACGAAATAGGGACTTTGCCGTACGAAAGCAATCCTGTCTTCTGCAGCAAATGGAGATTTAAACGATGCGGACATTGGCGAAACTACCAAAAAGCTGTCGAAGACTCACATGAGTGGGTCTAAGCATCGATTCCATATGCGAACCGGCTATTTTATGCATGACTCGAGTGATCTTCCACTCGCGGTAACGCAAACAGGTATAGAAGGAGACAGTTGCACCGTGTCCTGTTAAACAAAAAGCAACGGTGAAGGAAATCAACGACTCAATTGGACATGACCGGTGCATTAGATGAAGGCGAAGTCTTTGCAAAGCGCGGAGACCGCCTGAATTGGAAGCAATTCGACCCTGGTTCAATTAATCGACTCAGTCTACGTCTCTGGATATGTCATACAAGTTACTTACACCCGTCTATTTGAATGTACGATGCTCGGTAAAAAATGTCTGTCCACTTTTTAACCACATTCTTAAAAGTTCCAGAAATATCAAGGGTTCGTCGTCTGTAGCAAATATCGCCCTACTTGAATTAACGGTCTCCCACGACGTTTTTGGATGCGTATCCGAAACTTCGAGTCAAAATAATGTTTAAGCGTCTGAATTTTCCCCTCTCATCTGCTGTGTGCATCTCGCTTATTTCCATATTGTAGATCAAAATCCGCGCTACCGGCAATTCAATCGTTACCTATAAATGGCAGGTAAATGGTTTTAAAAAAATCTGTATCGCAACTAAAAATTGTATTTATAATACTCCACTTACCGTCAATTCCCACATTTGCGCTAATGTCTCTCACATAATTACCTGCTCAAAGTTTGCTTTATGTTCAGATTTCTTCAGCGTTTATCGCCAAGCAAGTATTAAGGTTACACCTTAGTGGGTGACGTCATTTTTTTCCATAGGATATTTGGCTTAATTAAGTTTCATAGACAAGCAGCTAGAATTGTTTTCCTATTTATCCTTAACCTTTGTATTTAAATCGGGCCATTTGTTTATCACATTTTATGTCATCCTGCGCCGGTTTTAAAAAGTAGTTTGGCTTCATCGACGAGCCTATATTATCTCGAGACGCAGTCCATTTGACACGCAGTGTAAAGAATAACTCAACATCATCGCTACCCCCGCGACTGACCTGAACACGTGGTGTCACATGTCACCTACGTATGAATGTTATATGAGGAAACGCGGTCTATTGATTCGAGTTATTGTCCCGTACCTGGTCTCGACCTCAGGTTTTGCGTCCAAATAGCACTGCCAGCTTGTAAACAGCTTATTTTATCGAAATTTTAAGGCTCAGTTTCTACCCTCTTAACCATGAAGGCATATGCAACGTGCCCGTACGTCGAATCGTTTCGTACTTGAAAATGGCCACCAAACTCTACCATGGGTCAGGAATTTATTACAGCGGGAGGACCACCCGAATGGGATTGAATTTCAACCTCGTTCCAAGATTTTGTTTATGGGGCGGCAAGAAAGCATTGAAACCAGTAAAGAAACTATTTCCCTCAAAGATAACCCCCCCTGGACACCGTCATTGTGTATAATCCACCGTTAAGTAGACCTTTAATCTTCTTCCCTATAGTCTTTTAGTACATTATGAGCCTTATTTGAGCCAGTTAGACTATTGTAACCATGAGGCTTAACAAGATCTGAATATGAGCGTACCAAGTGTACGTGTAGCATGTGTGACGGTGTCCATTAGCAGAGCTCATTTGTGCTCTCTTCTCACTTCCTGTACTTACATTTGCCCTTCATCAAATGCGACAATAGCACCATTTTATTGGTGAATTCCAACAGTAGTTATCGGATGTTAATCCAGTGCCTTACTTCTCCTGAAGGTTCCTGCGAAAAACACGCTGTAAATGTCCCCTGCTCGGACCGGGTGTGGATCGGACCTTCAGTGCTCAATGGAGATCTCTCCTCCCTTACTGATCTGTCGATCAAGTTGCTGGACTCTGGCGCCGACTACCTCCACTTAGATGTCATGGATGGTCATTTTGTGCCCAACATCACTTTCGGCCACCCGGTTGTTTCTTGCCTAAAACCGAAACTCCCACAGGCCACCTTCCTCGATCTGCACATGATGGTTGCCGAACCGGAAAAAGTAACACTTACGCTCTGTTATTTTTAAGTGTTTCTTTTTTATACCTGTTTTATCTCATAATAAAAAGTTAACTGCCCTCAGCCACTACGGCCATCATGAAAACTACCATCTATTGTCATCTTTGTAAGCATCGGCGTAACCACCATGTTTATGCCTAGGGTCTTTACTTATTTGTTTCATTTTAAAGATTCTCTTTCAACTCATTTTCTATGTTATTTCTTCGTCCAATTTCAGTGGATTGAGGGGATGAGGGCGGCCGGCGCTACCCAGTACACTTTTCATTTGGAAGCAGCATCCGACGTGAAAACATGCATTCGTCACATCCGCGAGGCCGATATGAAGGTGAATTTTCCTCCATGCAAACAAGTCATACTAAGGTAGACGCATAATAATTTGATTAGAGTCTGAAAAAGAGCTAGCTGTGTCCTCTGGCTTTATGGGTCGCGAACACACATCCGTCTAGCTAATTGTAGTCAATTTATATCCGGTCGTAAATTTTGACCGGAATACGCTTGGAATCAGAGAAGCCCAAAACAGTCGCTCTATCCGTTTCTCGGTTAGCCTCTGAGTTTAAAGTGTGTTTTTTTACCAGGCATCCTTACCATACCTTTATAAAAATATCGGACGGAAGTTGCTTTAAACAATTTCCAAGTCTTCAGGCAGCGTTACTCCGATGAACCACAACCATAGCAACACTTTGAAAAATGTCGGCGAAAGAACACGTCCCATTTCAAATAATGAATTACGCAGGGTCATCAAAGATTCTATTTAGTTTTTTTGCTGCGAATTCTTAACGTCCGATATTTATTTTTCAGCTCTCCCCCTTTTTCAATTCCACAACCACTTCCGTTACCGCTGCCGTTACCACCGTCAAATATCCTGAATGTCGTTACTGATCGTACTTCTTTTGTCTTCTTCCTAAACAGGTTGGCCTTGGCATCAAACCAAAAACCAAAGTGGAGGAGGTCTTTCCTTACGTAGACCTTGTTGATATGATTCTCGTTATGACAGTTGAGCCGGGCTTTGGAGGTCAGTCATTTATGCAAGACATGTTGCCAAAGGCAAGTGTTCATTTTCCTCTGTCAATTCCTTTTCCTTTTCACCGATATTTCACAATTGCGGTAGTGACTTGACTAGGAAATTTTTAGTGGCGAAGCCGACTTGCACAGTCTCTACCTCACTTCACACAGCCTCTGCTTACCACGTTCTTATGGCGAGACAAGGTCGTGACAAGTGGAAGTGGGCGCGGAAGAGATATATAGTCCGTCTGCGTGTGTCACGCATGATATGCCCCCCAAAAAAGACCACGCAGTAGGTACGCGAGTCCATAATGGAGGGCAGATTAGGGCAGGAGAAGCGTTATTGCGGAAGCTTACCGCATAACAACTGCCACGCTCACAGAGTGTTGCGGCACGCCTATGCGCAGGATCACGTCGCGCCACCAACTTGTGCCCGAGTCTATTGGCTTTGTCTTGACTGTGGATGCAGGTGGGTGAGGAGGAGGAGAGTACGATTGATGTGGCTCAAGTCGCCCTCCCTGCGCTACCCTGCAGCAGATTACACAGTGGTCAGGCATAGAAATCGCGGTTTAACAGTCAATTCCCAACTTCACTCCTAATAGACTTCACTAAGGGATGAGCAAGAGTGCCATGAAAGCCACCATCAAGTGAAGCGATTGCTACCTGACCCTCATTTGCCTATAGGACCGAATAATCCCGTCAGTTGGCAACTACCTACACTTGTCCTTATTATCATATAGTCTCTCCACCAATGCATGCATCAAACATGCACTGTCCCATCACCAGCAACCACTGGCAACTGTCATTTAAGTAAGAGTTTTGCCATATAAAATCCTGGTCAAGCGTAGGCTATGACCAAGTGGCGCATAATGGGGCCTAGTGTC